TCGTGCTGCAGCGGCTGTGGTTAGCTGCGTGCTGCGCTCTAACCTGTTACACCACCAGGGAGGCCTGAGAGTAGAAGTTTCTGATCACCCAAAATCATTGTTCATTTGATAGTGAATTTTTTTTTAAAGATTCATTTATTTATGCATACAGAACTGGGGTACAGACTAGAGGTGCAGGGGGGTGAGAGGACTCACTAGAGACAAAGTGGGGAGCAGAAAAGGCTGGCTGACGAAGTACACTGCTGAGGGGAGCAGCGGGTGGGTCACCTCATGGGCGGGGATGGAACTCATGCTGAAGTGACTTTGGCTTCTAACCCGCTGTGCCACCAGGGAGGGCCCAGATAGTGAATTTTTAAGCATGGTTTTAATTTGTCCAACTCATAATCTTATGTGTAGGCATTGAATTACTTATTCCTCTGTTGGAAATCTGGCTACTGACTTCCACTTTATTTTCTCATTCTTTGACAATGTCTAAGGTAAAAGATTATTTAAAATTACTGTTCTTTCGGAGTCTATGTCTACTAGCAGACAATTAGTTGTGATTTAACAAGAGTGATTTGACTTCAGGATTTTAATTAATAGACACGTGTTTTTAAGAGAATTGACGCCGCCATGGATCAAGGAAGATACACATGAAACTGAGATCTTTACAAAACTTGCTAATTGCTCACTTGGCGCTTTCTTATAATTCACCTTGTATCATTGCTCCTCCAAGCAAGCCAGCTAGAGTATTCTAGGTGAATAAAAACATGTCCTTTCATACACTTAAATCAACTGATCTCTGAAATCTTGAGTTTTAATACCCCCAGTTGAGAGAATCCCAAAGTGCTCATCATCAGAAGGGGATTTTAAGACGCAGAAAGAAAGGCGCGGAGGCACAGCGAAAAAACGGGTCTCAGAGTGGAGACCTGTGGGGAGCCGAGTCGGCAGGCACCCTTCCGGGTCCGAGTCTTCCTGTTGAGTTTCTTCCTTTTTGGCTCGGTGACACATTCAGTAAAGGATTGTGATTTTGTACAATTAATTCCATGACCACAGATACTGAAAAAAAGAGGTTATTAAAACTCGGGAGACTTCTGAATTCTAGTAAAATCATTAAGAAGGAACTAATGTGATAATAAAATGAAAAGCAATTCAAAACGTATCAGCCTAATAAAGAATATCACCAAATATCTTACTGTAATAAAAACCTTTGAAAATGAAACAAAGGGAAAAAACATCCCACCAGCTCAGATTAACAATCTGCCTTGATGAATTTTTCTTTCATTTAATCAGCCATGAT